CCGCTATCACCAGCGCAGAGGCATAAAAAACATCAGTAGTGAAGTAAACTGCAAAAAAATCCCAACTGTCCCACAGAGAGATGGTGTCAGACGCACTCAGGACTTAAGCAAATACTCTTTAAATTACAGGTACAGCCAGATCACTGCACAGTACTAGTATAGCACAATGCTAATGCAAGAACATCACAGCCAAATTACTGTTGTTGAGAAGTTAAATTACAGCACATAACACCGTGTTCAGACACACTGGAGACATCCTTAGTTTTTTTTGTTTTTTTGTGCATCAGTGACTGTATTTATCCCAGGCATGGAAACAGAGCTAAACGGTTCCCACTCTAGAAGGTCTTCTAAAAAAAATTATGGAATATATGAGTTTAAGTTTTATATTATGCTCTGTCAGCACCACCCCCACCAAAACAAATTCCATACAAGTGGCCTATTTTTAACTGTGTTCTGACATCTCACGTAACAGCTTCCTTCATCAGACTGTTAGTGATACCCTCAATTCATGGCACAAAGATTCCATAATGACTGAGGTTGTAGGTGTTACAATGGTACAGCAAGACAAAACCAGGAACAGACTGTGGCTGGCCCACTTGATAATTTAACCTGCTCATTTGCACCATGCTGTATCCACTTCCATCAAGTGTACCCTATACCTTTCTATAAATTATTTTTATGTATCAAATTGCTGAGCAATATGGTGATGCAATACACAAGAGGTTCCATTAACTGAATACTTTCCATAACTTAAAGTTAGGTTACTAAAAAGCCCACATGGTTGCAATGGCATTGATAAATGAGGTGAAGAAAGAGGAACTGATGCAGTGGATGAAGGACAACTGAGACTTACTGAATGCACCTCGCTATCTGGGAGCTGACAGCCCATTAAAGAGCCATGGAGTGCATCTGTGACCACTATGGATCACAGAGGGGGGCAGCTCGTGCAGAATGAGCACATACTGTACAGCGGATTCCTCCTTGTGAAGTGAATGTGTCAAGATTGGGAACTCTCACATTCAGAAGAACTTCCATTTACTTCCAGAG